GCTTCAAAGATCCTAAATATAAGATATCAATCTACGTTGTTTCTTAAATTTATAATATGTTCTCAAAAATAGCCCTATCATTTACAAGGTATTTGAACTAGGGTAATTTAAAAAAGTCAATATATATTTGTTACAAATAATTAATTTAATAAATTTTTTAATCTCTGTAAATTAATTATCTCACTCTTATATTAACGATAGGAGTTAGTATATATTATTGGATGAAACAAATGTGAATGACCGAGTCAATGTTTTATGTGCGTGTGCGCGCGCGAGCGCTTCAATTTGTCAAGTTGCTGTTGTTGATAATTAAGATCCCACTAAATGTTGGAACGGAGTCTACTTTCATGTATATTACACTTTGGCCCCTTTTTCCCAGCTTAGAGCTGAGCATGAGAAAGAAAATTCGATGATCCATGATTATAAGGATAATTAAGTTTTTTATTAAAAAAAATGCCCTTAATGATTCGAGCTAAGTGTGTCTAATTTGAATCATTAACGAGATGCATATTAATATGCATCATTATATACATCCATCAAAAGAACTTTACTTAGAGCCAATCAATCCTACCCGAATAAAAACATCTCAACCGATTTTTTTGATTTAGCTATCTGACTGAGTTGGATTAATTTAAAGTATTACCTTATCGAAAAATGTTTTCTTCGCTTACATGGATTTGAATACAAGACCCTCATGCCAGCCAAAGCTCTTTCTTTCACTGGGGACCAACGCTTGTTGGTCGTTTTAACCAATTTTGATTGAACGTCTTTAACAACCAAAATTAACAAAATTGATCATTATTGTTTTAATTAAGCAAAATATAACAGATTTTTCCCCGTTGTAAGATTAATCAGAGCAAAATATTTTTTTTCTACATTTGTTTCGTACTACTTCTAATCTTTAATATAAGAGTTAGTTGACTAATTTAGGTAGATTAAAAAAATTAGCTAAGTTAGTTACTTGTAATAAATATGTATTATTTTTTCTAAAATATCTTTATTAATCAAGTTCATTAGCTAAAGCTATCATTACTACAAATATTATCTTAGGAAAAAAATAGATAAATATAAAAGAAAAAATTGATTGATGTCTTATATTTAGGATTAAAATAAAAGTCAAACTAAATATATATATATATATATATATCACATTGATTGGAAAATCGATACTAAAAGAGCTTCTTTTTTTCTAAAGCCCCTTCCTCATCAGTCATGATACGACTCATTTTAAAAGCGATCATAACGATGGGCTACTAGCCAACTAAGTGGTGTGTGTGTGTGTGTGTGTGTGTGTGTGTAAGCATATATACACACATATATATAAGGAGGGGTTGCAATTAAAGGAAAATAATGAAAAGTAGGTCAAAAAAGAAGAGTGATCACTGAGATAATGAAAGTGACGGTGGCGAGATGAATGGTTGGCTGTGTAAAGATTGAAAATGTCATGAGAAGGAAAGTGTCAACAGTCAAATGTCGCCTTCTCATTGCTCAATTAATTGGACAAAATGGCATATCTTTTGGGTTAATTAGAACACAGAATTTAATTTCAGTAATAACATGTGTAAATTGTTCAAATATTGATGTACGTATGTTTAATAACGTGTATACACACACACACATATATATAAGTTTGACATATAGAAAAGTGTCTATTAGTACTTTTAAAATTCTTTAATAACAACAATGATTTCGCAGCGCTGAGAAGATGGTTGAAGCAAGCCTAAAAAGAGTAATAGTTGAAGACTTTGAAGTTCATGGAACATTTATTTAGGACTTTGATGCTTATCATGTGGGTGTGTGTGGGGGTGTGATTTTAGAGTTTATATTCCCTTAATAGCTAATAATTTCTCTTCACTATTCATGAGAGGAGAGTACTGCTAAATAAAAACTTCTTTTAAATTTTAATTTTACTTAATAATTAGTTGTTTGTAATGTATATGTATTAGAGAATCTCTATATTCAAAAACAAATTAGCAAATATAAATGCAGACGAATTTTCTGAAAGGCGTATGTATTATCATATATTGTTGTAGATTTCAATTTTAATCAAATTAATTATCCCCTAATTTGACTTTATAATAATTATCATGTATCCTCAAACAGCAATTAAACAGTTACAAAAAATTAGAGCAAACTAATAGCCACGTGAAAGTCATAGGCCTTAGGAAAATATTTGAATAAATGAATTAGTTGGGTATAAACACTTACTTTTGCATCAAAATCATTATTAATTATGAGAACCAAACCACAATAGTGTTGTTAGAATTTAGAAATTGAAATGAAGCAACCAATAACATACACCCACTCTCAATTAATTATCACGTGCTTTATAGTTGTGAATATGGAAAGAATTAGTTGGGAATGAATACACAACTCCTTTTTCTAAAGGGATATATCTATATATATATAATCAATTAATAATATGATTCATTAGTAAAATCTCAAAGTCTACGCAAGAGTCAACGAATCCAGCTTAGATGCCCTTTGCGGATGATTTTAATTGGGTGTTCATGCTTTTTGGGGGATATTAGTTTATATTATGATTATTAGATTAATATTAATAGCGAGATTAATATGATAAACATGTGTTTTCTCTATTAAAACACAAGCAAGCTCATATATATATACCATATATATAAAGAGAGAGGGCAGAGAGCGAGAGAGAGAGAGACCTAATTTCATGCATTGATGAGATGGCGATTGATGTTTGTGCATTCAAACAACCTTTTCTTGTGGCCAGCGTTCAAGCAACCATGTTTTGACTATTATAAATGCCATTAAATTATTTTTTGCATTTAGATTTCATCATTTGGTTGATAGCAAGAGCCTGGGCCAAAAAAAAAACTAATTAGAGATATTTCATTTCATTAATCATCATATAATTTTGCCTTAACCTCGACTAATTTTCACGTAATTTCTTGAATGATGTATATATCACCAATTCTGACATTTAAAATCTGACCATTTGGATCACAATAGTGGTCTAACCGGTAGATTGTAGGCAAAGTGGCTCGTGGATCATAAAGACCCAAAAAAAAAAAAAAAGACACAAAATTTCTTATAGTCGTTGTGTGAAATTGTCTTTTTGCCTGTTTAATGAGAATTTCCGATTTACATTTTATCCTAATCTATGAATTAACTTAGTTCATATGGCAACAACAGAGTATATATTATAAGTGAATATGATTTAAATCTTCTTTATATGTACATTGAATAACAGCTTTACATAAATTAATGAAGTTACATAAAATTAATTATTTCTGGTAAAACATTAAAATTACTCTCAATAAAAATCATTAATCAGAGAAGTTCTGTTAGTTAATTAGGAATCTTTAAAATTAATTAGGATGAACATGAAGGGGAAAAAAGTTAATATTTTAGATGAAAATATCATATTATCAAATATGATGAGTATCCTTGTAACAATAATAAGTAAGGGAGAGAGTATTATTATTTTGGTAATCTTGATTTGTTGTATTTTTTATGTCAATACAATTTCTTGTTGCATCAGCTTAAATATTTAAGCTTTATATCACTTAGATGTCAAATTTGTCTGTGTCATCAAATTGTCTTTTATTGAACGATTTAATCATAAACATATAAAGATATCTCTAAACTTGAGATAATTAAATCTTAAATAACATCTCATAGTACACCAAACCCTTCAGATTGATGACATGTATAGCAGTGCTACTTTTGAAATGAAAATAATTATATAAAGGCGTATTGCTTTTCATAAATTAAACAAAACATGAATATTCAAACTTGTATGACATAATATCAATTTTTAAATGGCAAAAAAAAATTTTGGTCGGATGTCACAACATCATAATCATCATTGTGGATATATCCCTAAAGCACTTTCCAGGCAAAATTATACGAAACCAGACGGTTTTTTAGTTTCAATATTCTCAATAATTATAATTATACTTTTAATTTTCCATTGTTTCTGACCATAATTGTCCAAATCCATTTTCTTTACCTTCTTGCCTTAATTATGTCCAAATTCAGGCGTTACGTTGTACTACACGAAAGCATCTTCATTATATTATAAAATGAAATGTTAAAAAAAAATAAAGAAACATAATTATATTTGAAATTTTGAATACTGTGTGTATGTATAATAATTAATGAGGTAAAAGTTTTAACATCTTTTGGCTTTTTGTTTGTTTTTCTAAGATCATTCATTTATGGACGGTCAAATGGGTTCAGTACTCTATTTCATAATGAAAGTTGCTAAATGAATTGTATTTGCCTTTCCTTAACTGAACGCGACAAAACTTCGGAGATGACTATTCAACTTGTACAAAAAAAATTAATTACTAACGATTAATCTAATCATAAATTATTTAGATCAATTATTATATTTAAGTGAAGCAAATGGTAGTGGTTATTAACACAATGTATGCATTACTCATTACTAGATCAAATTTGAACATTATCGAAACTAATTAAAAATAATTCTATCAACATAACTTCTATTTTTACTGCATATTTTTTTATTAGAAGTAATTTTATTCCATGATCAGAAATTACATGATATCAGCTCATATGATAGCAGGGAGATAAAAGTACACTGTGGCAATAAATAACAATAATTAAACATTCTAACATGACAAAATAAATAATTGGCATATAAAATTTATACTTAAAAAATAATTAATTAGGTGAATCTCGTACATTATCAAGTCTGAAAAAACAAATTTCAAAGAAAGAAATTATATATATTAATCAATACTAGTATTAATACTATTAACTATTATTGAAAAGGGTTTATTTATGTTAACTTTGAAAGGGGGGAAAAAAAAAGTATCCTTACAAAGCACGAGAGGGCAAAAAAAGTTCAACGCCGTCATCGCTGACCAGACCACATCGCTCACTGTCACAGGGGACACAAACCTAGACTTTATCCAAGTCAAATGTGCTTTTTCCATAACATTCTCTATCCTTCTCTCTCTCTATATCTATGAATCTTCTTCTTCTTGCTTCTTCTACATTTCTGTACACCCAGACACACCCACTTTCCTTATCTGATCTTCTTCTATATGGGAAACGCAATGTTAATCCCATGCTTTCACCCAAACCCTAATTCATCTTCTTCTTCATCCTCAGTGAAACTTGTATTCTGGGAAGGAACCACGAGGACACTCACCGGCAAGAAGCACATCGCCGGAGAGATCATGTTCCAGTTTCCGGAAATGATGGTGTGTCACGCCGACTCCTTCTTCATCGGCCAACCCATACCGGCGCTCTCCATCGACGATGAGCTCATGCTAGGGCAAACCTACTTTGTCCTCCCCATTGACCGGTTCGGGTGCGGCGTGCTCTCCGCCGCCTCCCTCGCCGCCCTCGGGTCATGCCCTAGCCGGTCCCCAATAAAGTTTGGGCAGTGCCCGTTTGAGTACCTGAAGGGATCCAATGGAAGGGCTCTGATAAAAGTCAAGCCAGAGTTCATCACGAGGCTAATTGTTGAAGGAGATCAAAGTAAAGATGACAAAGAGATTATTATCACTGGTGAGAATAATAATAGTAATGATAATAGTCCAAGTAAGAGCTTCCTTTGTAGTACTCCAGAATTGCAGAAGCATTATGAACAACTTGTGAGGTCAAAGGACCAAGTTTGGTCACCTAAACTTGAGACTATTTCTGAACATAAGATCAGGTTCTCACCATGCAGATTCATCGGATTAGAGTGGAAAGAGAAAGAAAAATCAGAGAGTAATGTTTACTAGCAGCCACCAGCCCCGTTTGATCTTATCTGTATTTCAACTTCGTGTAAATTAATGATGACTAGATAAATACATATATAAAGTTACATGAAGAATCTCTTCTTGTTTCTGCTGGTTTTTTAGCTTATAGAACAAAAGAATTAAGCTCTGAGTTCGATTTTTGTTTTTTTTCGTTCTCTCCCTCTTTTGGCGAAATGATGTCTATATCGAGTGTTCTCGTGTGTGTGTGTGTGTGTGTGTGTGTGTGTGTGAAATTAGTATGCTGTGGGGACATTAAAGTAGCTGTAAAATTTGCTGCAGGATGGTTAGATTAATATAATGTGGCGACGATATGATTTAGGTACTTTACAAATTCCATAGTTCTGATCGATGTGTTGTTTAATGCTATCTAATCATATCGATAGTCCATATGAAACTATATGCTTCAATGTGTTATAAGATCAAGGACTCTCTCACCCAGTAGAGTAGTCTTTTGGGATAACGGTTTGTATCAGTTTGTCCTCATTGTAAATATTAGTCTCTTAAGTAAAGTATCAATTTATAGTGGACAAAACTCTTTTTTTTTTCAAAAGATTAGCTAGTTTATTGGGTGGTAAAGTCCCTTAAACTTATAAATCATACTTATACAACATAATATGCTGGCTTCATTAATTTGATAAATTTTAATTTTAATATATAGTATCATTTTGATTATTAGTTTTTAAAGATAGGTGTGTGTTTAAGATTGTGGCAATTAGAATGTTCTGCTTAATTTAAAAAGACAAGGGATGCTCGCTGGGTGTAAAATTTGCTGCAGCTTATACAAATTAATAAAAAAAATTATGTGGAAATGGAGTATAAAACACCATTAAGTTTAGCACATATATGTGAGGCATTTTGTGAAATGTTTTCTTGTGATTTGTCGGCTTCTTTGCCGTTTTGGATGCTTAAGACAATTAATTGTGATTAATAATTATTTGTAAGAAAATAACAAAGTTAAACTAAATGGTTTGATGTGTGCCCGTTTGGATTAGAGTCAGGGGAATGTGGTTTTGAATAATCATGGTTTTTTTAAAAAAGTAATTTTGATTTCAAGTGATTATGATTAATTGTGACTTTAGTTTAGATTTTTTTTTTTTTTTGGAAAAAAGGTGATTTTGAAAGAGTTGAATGCCATTTGTCAAAATCACTTTAAACTATATATATCTAATTACTAATAATAAATAGTATAACTATTATAAAGGTGTTTAAATATTTATAATTATTATTTAATTTCAATAATTATTAAATATAATTTAACGAATGAAATACTGTTGTTGGCCAAAAAAATGCTATTAAAATATTTTTAAGATTTTAGTATAAAAAATTCATAATTTTCAAGCGAAGCACATATAATGACAATACATTGAAAATATTATAATGACAAATCATATTGAAGATAGTGAGATGGTGACGACATGAGTGAAGAACTGAAGATGATGATAGTGAAAAAATAAAAAAATAAAAAAATAAAAAGATAAAGATAATGATAGTCAATATATTGTTATTTTGAATAACTATTTTTGAACTTTATACGTCTATAGGACAATGATACCTATTGTATGAAATATTTTACACGGCGTTGAATGGCACAGTAAAAAAAAGAAAATATTACAAATGACAATGATATTGATGATATAAATAATGATATCTTGGATGTTCATATCACTTTAAGTCATATAATCTGTTTTCTTTTTTAATAATCATTGTAAATCATATAATCTTCAAACTGTAAAAAGATCATAAGTCTGTGATATCATGAATGGTGCCCAAATCTTTTTTTTATTTTATTTTTAGTTAAAAAAATGGGGCTAGGCCTCTAAATTGATATATTCAAATGTCTTGATTGGGGTTAATGATTGTCAAAGCCTCTATCAATAATTTTTTTAAAAAAAAATCTGATTTTGTTATTGATTCAACCGGTTTATATTTTCTTTTTATTTTTTAATTGCTGGTTTCAAATAAAGTCATTTTAGAGTGAACTTTTTTATGTCTATTTTCCAAAGTCATGATTATTGATGATTGTGAAGTTAATAAATAGTAGTTTATTGATCATCAGTTGTTTATTTTAAATTTAATTTGTGATTATTTATGGATAGTGAGATACATTCATGAAGCAGGTAATAACTTTTTTTTTACCAGCAAGCAGGTAATAACTTCACCAGATATAAATACTAAATGAATCATTTCTTCTTGAAGTGTTTTAGAAAAAGAAATATTGTCAGAAATAACTTTAAAAAAATATAAGATGCATCCAGCACCTCAAAATATTTTACGAGTATATCTAGTATTCTGAAATATTTTTTTAACTGCAGCTAGTATCCAAAAATATTTTTTGGTTCATCTAAAACTAAGGCAAAAAAAAAACCTCAGGGTGCACTTGAAAAAAATAATTCAAGTGCAGGATGCACCCAAGCACTTAAAATCCAAGAAAATCCTTAAATCAATATATGTGAAAATAAACAAAATAAAATAAAATACACATCGACCTGTGGCTTGTAAAGGGTTAGCTCCTTTCACCAAACTCAATCCTTACTTCTTCTTTTTTCCCGGCTACAATCCTGACGTTAATTGTTTTTTTTTTTTTTTGGATACAATCCTTACGTTAATTGTTATCCTTGGTTTATCTAATGTTGGATTAATGGACTCCGTTCTAAGCTTGAATAAGACAGCCCAACTTGAAGTTTATGTAGAATTTTCAACAAGGGAAAAGCCCACAAGGCCACAACTAAAGGGCAAGAAAGCTTCGCTATTAGGACAACATAACCCACTGAACTAAATGGGTCATTTGAGTTCTAAAAAGCCCATTAATTATGAAACCCTATTTTGTTTGTTACGAGTAAAACTCTTACAATATGACGAATTAAAATTTAAATACTTGTTAAGAGAGTTACTTTTGATTATAAAAAAAAAATACTTATGTACAGTGCCAAAAAAAAAGCATTTTGTTTGTTATCTCTTCTCATGAAAACAAGAGATGAGCACAAAACATCTTATGGAATCTGATTGTATATTTGGATACCTTATATGTATGTTGCTTTTTTATATTTAAATATAAGTATCAAAATCAAAACTCGCTAACAATATATGAAGCATTTGTTAAACTCAAAAAAAGTCTTTATGAAACTATAAGAACTAAAACCGACAATCTGAAATTACGAACACTAAAACCAAAATTAGATCAAACTATAAAAACTAACAATGATATTAACTCAGTTTAATATCAACTCTTTTTAAGAGCATATTTAAAAAGCTTTTCAAAATTTTTTGATAATTAATACTCCTCCAGTCCTAATTATAAGACCCAATTGACTTATTTGAGGAGATTAAGGAAGTAAGTTAAATTGGTTATTTATAATAAATAAATGTTGTTATTCCTAAAATATCCTTGCTAATTAAGTATATTGGCTAAAACTATCATTATTAGAAGGATTACCTTGGAAAAAAATGCATAAATATAAGAGAGAAAATGGATTGGGTTTTATAATTAGGACCAAATAAAAAGTCAAATTGGGTCTTATAATAAGGATCGGAGGAGTACTATAAATATCTTTTAGCTAATATATTTTTTTCTAGATAGAGTGAGATTATTAAACCATATTTATTTTATACACATGCATCATCTTATTCAAGATAATATCGTTTGAAATATTATTTTTATTTGTAATTGAAATTCGAATGTTTATATTAAAGTTTTTGAAGTACATGAGAGTATGAGCCCACGTGAACATCCATATACACACACGCACACATCCCTGTATGTATGCATTTATGTATGGATTGTGACGTCTGATAAATATGTTTGTGTTGGTGACAGCAGATTGGTGAAGGCTGAGGAGCAAAGCAGAACAGGTTAGGTGGATAGCAGCCAGGGACCAGCCTACGCTCTGTTTGGTTGTGCGATTAATGACTCACCACGCCGATTCAGTCTCTCTCTCTCATGGGCCCAAACTAAGCCCATCCACGTCCCAGCCTATCCTTTCCCTCTTCCCAGTCAATTCTTTACCAAATTTAGCCCTTTTTCTGTATAATTTTTATTTAATAATATTAACTTTTAGGTTGATTTCACTTCTTTCTCTCTTTTTTTCCCCAGAAAAAAGGCCCATTTTATTAATCACAATAAAAAAAAGTCAAATATCGAAGAACAATAGCTGACAAAATGGTTTGCCCTAAAAAAATATTATCCTGATATTTAATATAAAAACTAATTAACTAGATTAAAAAAATTTATTAAATTAGTTATTTGTAATAAATATGTATTATCTCTCATAAAATACCCTTACCAATCATATATATTAGTTAGAAACCTAGAATTACTATTTGATAGAACTTTTAACATGTACAACTATTATAAAGATTACTTTAAAAAGACTGAATAAATATAATAGATAAAATAGATTAAAAATTTATATTTATGATCAAATTAAAATTAAAACCAGCTCTTATATTAAAAATCAGAGGTATGGTAGCTTTTATTTAAAAATAACTTTGAGATTTATATCATCTTTTGACACGTTTTCTTCGCCATTGTAGCCTTGCAGGATAAATTATACATGAAAATATCATATACTACCTCTTCCTCCTGTTGTTAATATGAGATTAGTTTCCTATATTATATTAAGCATTAAAAGTATACTGCTATAATTTATTAAAAATTCTATATTTTACAGCATCATCATGGGAGGTTGATTTTTCTCTATTGCTATAAATTAAACTCTTCTTATTTTGTAATATTTCTAAACCTGCGCTTATTTTAAAAGTGGCCAATCATATCACGTATTGTCATTCATACTTTATTAATTCATACTTTATTAAAAAGTATCATACGGTTATTGGTAGAAGTGTGTAAAAAGTTAAGCATAACATTTATTTCTCTCCGCTTCAAAAACTTCAAGATGATTCCACCAAAGAAGCAATCCAACTCATTGTTTTTTAAAACCTTTATAAAAGCTTTATGAAAATATAGTCATACAGTATTAAACATCCAAAATACTTCCTTTTATTATTTTTTTAAATAGAAACTGGATATCCATTAGTTATAAAAGAACAAAGTTAAAGTTACAACCAGAAAAAGAGAACTTCTTTCAACTACGTTGGATGGGCATGATGGCCCGGTATCTCGTCCCTTAAGCAAGTAGTTGGGGATTCGATCTCCAACTCTTGTGAATGGAAAGCATCCTGTGGCCAGTCCCCTGACACTTTGTGTGCCGACCGTAGAGACGAGAGATTAGTCTCATGGCTACCGGCTGTTGGGATACCCTGGGGAAAAAACCTCCTCAAAAAAAACAGAGAAAGAACTTCTTTCATTAACATTCATCTCACGTTAGGAAGGATAAAATGTGATCAAAGATGCAATAATTTTTTTCATTATATGTGATAATTTAACAAGATGATTAGTCATAAAATTATTTTCCCTGAGTATATAGTTAATCGTCACCTTACAATCCCTTGAAAAAAAAAATTTAGCTTCGCCAACAAAGTATTTGAAGGGGTTTGTAGAATCGCATTCCTTGTGCAAAAAAATTAACAGCCCCAGCACAATTAGAGTATACAAACACAAATTAAAACCATGGTGGCACCGTGGTATACTTCCTCTTATGATTAGTTTCCATGTTTCCCTTCCAGGAGGACGGTTTTAAATTGTTAATTTAAAAAAAATTAAGATACAAGTCACGTTGTCAAGGTTTTTCAAGTATTGATTTTTTACCCCCATGACAATTTGCTTTGTTGACTTTTTTTTTTGGGGGGAAAACAAGTGATGCTGAAATTTAGAGAATTTAAAAGGGTGTTTAGATAGAAATCAAACCATTATTTTTAAAGTGTTTTCACGATTTACGAAATAAATATGTTGAGGAGTTTGTCTTGTTTTACAAAAAAAAAACTTTCCGAGTTTATTAAACACTCCCTAAGTAAAAAATATTGACAAGTATTGCCCTAAAATTGATTCTAGAATCTACTTGCATATGGATGCCCCATTCCGTTTTGAGCAAAGTTAACTATACTGGGAAAAAAAGGGAGTGTAATTAATAGTTGAGCGGATGAATGACAAAGAGGGACACGCGTACGGAGGGACGGAGGGGAGGCACAGTGTGACGCCGTAGAGTCAAGCGCAGAAGAGCAGAGCCCCAGTTCCGTGGTTGCGTACCCACAAATCCCGAAATTCCCCTGCCAGCACCAGAGTCAGCACACGCGCCGTCCGCCTGTCTGCCAACAGAAGTGGGCCCCGCAAGGAGACACAGATCCAGATGGAGACAGTGGAAAGATGCGTGTGAGGGAGGCGCGCGTGGGACAAGAGCAGTGTTGTGCTGGTGTTGGCGTTGTGAAGGGGAACACAAGGAACAAGGTACCCAGATGGCCGGGGTTGTTATTGCGTCGGAGGGCTCGAGGTGGAAAGCAGAGACTCCTCGTAATGTGCTACTCCGCCCGTTGAATACCCGTCACACTTAAATTCAATTTTTTCAAGGATTAAATTATAAATTTATCCTGAAAATTTTTATTTAATAATATTAGGATAAATTTATTTTAAAAATCTAAAATCGTAATAATATTATCTTTTATCTTCAAAATATTAACAGTCAATATTATTATTTTAACAGTCAACTTGAGTTTTTAAATAATAGAGGACAATAATGTTATAATTTTAAACTTCGGTGACAAATTTGATCCCAAAAAATTTATGAATACCTCATACTCTTAAATGAAAAATATATTTGTATTTTTTAATGATGTGATCAAAATTACCCTTATCATGATGCAACGGGGGAGATGGGGATGATGAGAGCCCCCTTTTGATTTGCAGGGAGATGGGGATGATGAGAGCCTTGTTGTCTGAAGTTATTTGGTTTCTTTTGACTTTTGTTTCTTCTTCTAGGCATTAGTTTGTATTCAGTTTATTTCAAAACAAACCTATCAGGACAAATTTTGTATCTTTGAGTTGCAGCAAATGAAATATTGGAGATTTAAGTTGCCAAAATATGTAAACATCTTCTTAAAATCATTGCTGGCATAGATTAGAATATTTATGAGTAGTGTACTAGGAAAAAAATTAATGATTTGATTATTATAGCTTTTAATTCAATTACAACGTATCCTTGAGTTTTAACTTTTGTTTTAAATTTCAATCATTTAATAAATTCACTCAGACGCCTTATACGCGAAAGTATGATACTACCTCTGCTCCTAATTATAAGACCTAGTTGATTAATTTGAGGAGATTAAGAAAGTAAGTCAAGTTAGTTATTTGTAATAAATAAGTATCGTCACTCCTAAAGTATCCTTGCTAATTAAGTGTATTGGCTAGAAATATTATTACTAGAAGGATTATCTTCGAAAAAATACATAAATATGAGAGATAAAATGAATTGGTATTTTATAATTAGAACCAAACTAAAAGTCAAACGGGATCTTATATTAAGGACCAAAAGTAGTATTACCTGAAAGTATAGAGGTCAATTTCTAAAATGACTAATATATAAGACATCAATTGTAATTGAGTGTGATAAATAATAAATTAATAGGAGGATTTTACAGAAATAAAATAATTACCAGTAAGTTTTAACAATAATATTTACTACTCTAAAACTTGTCATTCTAAACTACTCTGGTGTTATTTTTCACCTAGACTTTTTAACAATTACTCATATATTCTTTATTTAGGACTTCATAACAATTCTTTCTAAATTAATTTATAAAAATAAAAAATTAAAACTTTTGTTTCTTTTAAAAATAATTACTTAATAAAATTAAGGAAAAATTATTTTAGAGGTATCTATATTTTTCCAATTTTCAATTCGATGCCTATGTGTTTTTCTCTTAATTAAATCTTTAATTTTGCTCTATTAACAATATTAACCCGTACATAAAGACAAAAAATACAAATAGAACAATGGTATAAGAGTTTTTATTGCTAAGAAGGTAAAATTAAATAACTTAATTAAAAACATATATAAATATCAAATTAAAAATTAAAAAAGTATGAATACCTTAAATATAGTTTTTCTTAAAATTTAAGAGTGGAGGTGCCCATTTTGTTCCCTCTCTCTCTCTCTCTCACAATTTTAGCAGTGTAAGTGTTACTTTTCTTTTACAGTGTTAGCTCTTCTCGGGGCTTTGCATCCGCCTCCGTAAAGTTAATCCTCTGCGGCTCTGCCCCTCCCTCCCTCTCTTTTCTTTTGTTTTTTATTTTTTTAATCTTTTTAATATTAAACCAGCAGTATTAAAAATAAAATACGACATCTTTATTTATTGTTGAACCCTTTTGTATTGTTAATAATTATTAAACTAATTTCTATTATTTAGAGCATGAGAATCTACATTACGAAAATGATGCCTTTTTTTTTAGAGGGGATGGATGTTGGGCTTCAAATTTTCAATAAAGCCCTTAAATCAAAGAGCCTCTGAGGTAGGCCCATAAAAATTGGTACTACAGACCTCATCGATGTGTGTGTAGACGCACGCACGCACGCACTAACATTTGATATAACTCAATCATTTGATATTAATCATCAAAATCTAAAAACATGTTACTCCTCCGGTTCTTATTATAAGACCCAATTTGACTTTTTATTTGGTCCTAATTATAAGACCCAATCCATTTTTTCTCTTATATTTATACATTTTTTTTCCAAGATAATCCTTCTAATAATGATAGTTTTAGCCAATATACTTAATTAGCAAGGATATTTTAGGAATAACAATACTTATTTATTATAAATAACCAACTTAACTTACTTCCTTAATCTCTTCAAATAAGTCAATTGGGTCTTATAATTAGGACCGGAGGAGTATTTTGGGTAATGACAGGAATTTTTTAAAGAAAATAATTATGCTGCGACTTTATTTCTGTTATATCTAATCGTATTATTCAACCTTAATCATTTTTCAAATATTTTAATTATAACCCAAAAAAGTATTCTTCATCTAAAATTTTTATTCATACTTTGATACTTTCATCAGTCTCGTGTTTAATATTTTACAATGGAAAAATAATGATTATTGCTAAATAAGCAACTTATACACTTCTTCTACTCTTAAATGTAGGTGTTAAATGTTTACCTTGTAAGTGTTAAGAAAAATAATGAATTAATTATTTTAATTCATGCCCTTGAACAGTCAGCTGTATCTTCTTTTTTTATAACTTACACACATATTATATCATCTATAAGGAGTTCGAACTCATGACCTCGTGTTTGAGAAAATGTACAAGTTATTGGCTACAAAACTCACACATAAAAAAAAAAAAAAAAGAGTTGTAATAATTAAGGGAACATTCCTAATGTTAAGGTGCTAGTATTTTATTTCCAAATTGGAGTGAAATTTAATTAACATTTAAAAGGGTACAAATAATGGGCAATTATTGAGGTTTTAGCCTTACCAACACGCAACAATCTGTATTATATAATAATTAAAAACTTTTGGTCTTTGATTTTAAGTTTAAAATAAGATTTGGGATCGAAGGTAGGCTCACTTTTCAATACTCACACGAATAAGAACATCACGTTGGCACAAGAATCTTCTTTGTTTATATAAATTCCAACCATGCCAGTCCCTTTCTTGTGAATCAAATCCTCCTATGATCTGCCCTTTTCTTTCTAGAAAGCTTCCTAGCTACCTACGTTTTATATATTATAATCTCTTTTTTCTTCCTTAAAGAAGTGAAATATATACTCCCTTTGCCCTTCTTAATCATAAGGTTTTTTTTTTAAAATTTTGTTAATCCGTAATATATGATGATATGAAAAATTATCTAACAAGTGATTTCGAAAAGTATCCTATGTAAATGTGTGGAGGTTTTGTGATATGTTTAGATTCATGTAATTATTAATAAGAATAAAAATAAAATCTTGCACTATTTCTTATGTTGTTTTCTGGAAAAAGCGGGTCTTCATGATATTATTTATATTATATCTTATATTTAGAATCGGAGGTGATATTATGTTTTGAAGCTTTTTATTTAATATATATTTTTACTGGCAAAAGGAGAGGACTCCCTAAAAGATTAGCTTCTTTTATGTGAAGATTGGAGGCATTATGTTTGATTCTCTGGCTAGTTCACTTTTAATTAAAATTGTGGGCAACAGTATTTGTCCAATTGAATAAGTTAACTGTGTAATTATGACTCGCTTATATACATTAATTTAAGAGTTTAACATATTCTCAATTTTTTTTTAAATTTAAAAAGGCGAGTACTAATACTCCTCCGGTCCTTATTATAAGACCCAATTTGACTTTTTATTTGGTCCTAATTATAAGACCCAATCCATTTTGTCTCTTATATTTATGCATTTTTTTTCAAGATAATCCTTCTAATAATGATAGTTTTAGCCAATATACTTAATTAGCAAGGATATTTCAGGAATGACAACACTTATTTATTATAAATAAGCAACTTAACTTACTTCCTTAATCTCCTCAAATAAGTCAATTGGGTCTTATAATTAGGACCGGAGGAGTAGTTTATTTTAAGCGAACTTTTTATTTATTAGAAAATTTTCATAACATTTGACTATAAGACTGTTGACATGCTCACGTTCATTTGAAGTTAGATTCTTCAACAGATCTTAAGATCCATCAATTTTTCGGACACGTTACACGACACGAAAATAGTCACCACACACACCTACGTGTGAGTGTACATACGCGCACAGTATTTCCAATCCTTAATATAAAATGTTGCTTGACTTTTATTTTAGTCATAAATATAAGACCTCAATCCACTTTGTCTCTAATATTTATGTATTTTTTTAAGATAGTCTTTTTAATAATGATAGTTCTAGCTAATACAGTTGATTAGTAAGAATATTTTAGAAAAGACAACACTTATTTATGACAAATAACTAACTTAACTTCTTTCATCAATCTCATCAAATTAGTCAACTAGTTTTTATAATTAGGACTATAACATTGCATAACCCTGCCTTAATCTTATTTGTATGAAAAAATTTATATTGAAGTGGTAATAAATATCAGGAAATAGTATTTCATTATAATTTTTCCTCACAATATTTTTTTAAAAATTTTTGCCAATCATTAATGATCTAACTATTTGTGCTCTTTTATATGTGTCGTGTTCTAGTAGATGTGGGATCAATATGGCAGAGATGGATACATTTGGAGTTTAGTGCTCATGAAATCCCAACTATTATCTGTTCCATGACGAGAGCCCAATATTGTTGGAATATAAGAATTATTTTTTTTCTTCACAGTGATTATATTATAATAAAGTAAATATATCACACATTTTAAAATTAAAATATATTTTTATTTATACTTGGAGATCAACTAATTAGTTTTTCTGAATAAATTCAACCGTAATTATTCATACAATTTAAATTTTACTGGCATTTTAATTGTACTTTTGTGAAAAAGTTGGTAATGGCAATTCATTGCATACACACGTAAATAGGG